TCCTGCTGCAGTAATGGCTGTGCAGAGATCACTCTAATGTCTAGCAGAGGATATCCTCTCTCTGTTTCAGTTTCACTATATGTAAAAAATAATGAACGTTAATGTGCCTCTCAATCGGAGCGTGCAACAGGATGAATTCAAGTTAAATAGAAGTCAGAAAATCTGAGGCTCCCTTTGAATATGTATGTTAACTTTCAAAGAAGGATGACATCTCTTATTTGCTTTAAAAATAAAAGTCAATTGCCCATAAATCTAAACCAGATGTTGTTTTTCTACTAAAGATTAAGGATTTTCTTAAGCTCATTAAAGGAAAAAAAAATAATGACACCACATTTATTCTCCTATATCATCCTAAGAATGTCTTTAGGCAATGGAAAGCTAGGAAAGGACACGGTATTAGTGTAACAAAAATAGCCCTGGGTCTGGCAAATTGTGCTTATCTTCTGGGTTCTGTGGCAAACCTTGCACTGTTTCTCCAACCTTACCCTTCTGTGTTTTAGTGGGGTTGGGTGGTATGTATACTCAAACAGAAATGGGACTTTTTATTATGAAAATACAAATGCCAGCTCCTACATGGCTTGAAAAGCTTAAGCATCATCCAGATATTTCAAGGAGGGGAAATGGAAACCATTTGCTATTTCTTATGCCTACATCTATGGAAGAATGCTCACCCTGTTGCTTGTCAAAGATTGTGTGTTTCTTTGGGTGAGGATGATAATTCCCAGTTTTCTCACTTTCCATGTGCATCAAAACCTAGAATCTGCAAAATGTGAATTAAACTCTTTAAGTGGAAGGAGGATATAGTAAATCTGCTGATGCCATGTGTGCTATCAATACAGCCCAGTATGATAGTCAGTGTTCTTTATTCCAGTTAAAAGCTCCCACAGCAGAAGAAAATGATGACCTCATACCTCACTGGCTGTATACATGAGCGTGGCAACACTCAACTCCCTCGTTTGCCCTGTTTATGTGTTGAAAGTTTGCTGGAATGCATACAAATGGTACTTCAGTTGTAAGATGATAGGAAAGTCTCAGTATAATTTGAGAAGAGCCAGCAGGGAAATATCCTGTCCTGGCAAATTCCTGTGGGTGTCCAAAATACTAGGCCAGAAATAGTGGCTCCGGGGAGAGTTTGGTCCTTTAATCAGTCTAAACATTTCAGTGTTATCAAATACATAGGACAGTTTGGTAAATTGTGGAGTCATGCTTGAAGAAAGGGTTGGTTGGTTGGTTGGTTTGTTTATTAAACTTTGTTGTCCGTCTTGATGTTTAGAACTTCCCCCTGATTTCACAAAGCAACTTTGTACCTTTAATGTCCTGAGGCTATTTGGTTTCTCCAGACTACTCATCAGTTGGATTTTAAGCCTGTTACACCTGGGGTAGCTAAATTCTCCCTTCAGGAATCACAGTAGAGTACTGCAAAGTTTGCTGCATCGAAAATATTTTTACATGAGACTTTGAAAATTCCAGCCCCTTGTGCCCTAAATGTTCCTTCCCTCCTGTAGAGAGACACGTTGTGTCCACAGCTATAGGATGGGAACGAGACAGGACGTTTGGGTTCTTGGCACACTTCCACCACCAGCTTGGAGCAGATGCTGACTGGGAGTTTTGACCTTGTGCCGTGTTCTCGGTAAGGTGGGTGATGTGGAATTGATGGAAAAAATCAGGTTATTTTAGGAGTTGCTTTCTGTTGCACTTCATTTTGTTATTGAAATTGTAAAAAAGGCTTGTCCCATAGAGGTGTTGAAAACTCAAAGCTGTATTAATTTGTAGTTTTAAGAGAAAACAAAACCAAACCAAATGGCTTTGCAATGTTTTTGACGTAGCTTTGTCTACTTGGAGTCATAAATGCCTTTTAAAATTCAGTGCAGCTATTCTTGCTCTTTAATGGGTTCAGTCAGCCAAAATCTCAACGCAGACACACAGCCACATGTGCACACATACATCTTTAGCAAAAGTAAGTCAGCACATGAGAGCTGATGGGGAGAACTGAGCAAAATTCTCACACTTGTCAGATGCATTCCTGAGAGAAACCCAGATTGCTTAACACTGTAGTGATATATTTTCAGAAATCAGTTTTTGTTGTTTTGTTTTCCTACTGAACTTCATGACAAGAATCAGCTGTAATGTAAGTTTATGGCTTGAGCAGACTATTGTTTGTGCAGAAACCTCCCTGCTGGTGTATTTACTAAACATGTGGGATGCACAAATGCCAGTGAACTGCATCTTGGAGCATATTCCCTAGTTGCTAGCAAAAACTGCCTTTAAAGTTTGGCCTGTTTAAGTATAGGGAGGATGTGCATCAAGTTTAACAAGAACAGGCCTGAATTTTTAATTACTCCTCAAAACTGTTTTGACATGAAGTCTGGGCTTTATTGAAATCAATAGCAAACCTTAAGTGTTCTTCAAAGGGTCTAGAATTTTGCTAATGAAGAACAAGTTATAAATACAAAAAAACATTGTCCCCTTGACTAAGACCTCTCTTTTTTTGCTATTCCAGCATTGCAAACATAGACTTATTTTGTTTAGGGAATTCTCTTGTTTTCTTCTTGGAACTCTTCCCACCTTCTAGAGAATAACCGTTATGGATTTAGCCATCCTAGAAATATGGACTAGTGGGAAGTGCATCATGTCATGGTGTATGTCTGCACTGCTGTTCTCTCCCAGTGAAGTCAGAGCTGCTTACACCTTGAATTTGTATGCCTCTGTTGGTCCTGGAGGACAAAACATGAAGCATGCCTCCAGAAGAAGCAGGTAGCCTGCCAGGGGCTGGATGACCTGTCTTCTCCAGGAGGAATTCACTGCAAGAATTCTCTGCTCAACCAGTGCAGAATACATAACTAGTCTGTGTAGCAAGTACTAGGACCCAAGTTCCACTGCCCCATTCCCCATTGTGTGCTGTGCCTTACTTGCTAGTCTAGCTAGAGTATCTTCTCAGGCATTCTTTCTGAACCAGAAATTGAGTCTTGGAAGTCTGTCTAGTCTATTGAAAGTAGAAGGGCTTTGTAAAGAGGAAGAAAAATGCCCTCCACCCTTATAAACGGGTAATTCACATCTTCTGAAGCAGAGAAAGGAAATGAACCAGTGTCTCCCACATCCTGAGTGGTCTAACCACTAAAATATTGCACAGGAGCAGAATATCACTGTGTCCGTGGGTGGTGTGTCAGTACGCAAGCAGCAGAATACGGCCCTGTGCAGTGTCTGGAAGATAGTGCTGAGATAGCTGCCTCTGAGAGAGGGTTCCCAGGTGGGAAGGAAGGGGTGGTTTGTGTAAGGCTAAGCCTAAGCAAGGGGCAGAAGCTGATGTTTACACGGGCAAAGGTTTCCTGTTGGCTAACAGAAGAAAATCCCCTTTCACCCTGCCCAGGTCTGCAGCTTCCACCAGAGGCACCTAACAGAGCCCCTGGCAGTGCTGGGGGAGCACCAGAGCTTGGGGTTCCACTGCAGGCCTCGGGAGCTGATGGCAGATCTGGGGGCACCTCACTCTCTCTGTCAGCAGGGTTCCCTCTCCATCTTTTCCTCTGAAAACACACAGGATGAGTGCTCTGTAAACACTGGCTGCCGATTGCATTGCCTGTATTTGCTGATGACAGTCAAGCAGAGTGTTGTATGTGACTGCTCGTTCTAAGGTGTTTTTCTGGAGAATAAGACAGCTCCTCTCTCCCTGTAAAATACAACTCCTGTCCCTGCAGTCTCCTACTTTCTGCATGGTCAGACCCAGCTGTTCTGTGGCTTGAGTGAGTGGAGGCAGTTGTGCAGTCAGTAGCTGCAGCTGTGTCATGTCATCTAAAAATAATGTCAACGGGGGACATAGTTCTCTACATTTTCCTTAGAGTAAATCTACCTGTGCATCTCCACTCACATTTGTACCTCCAGTGGAGGAGCAGGAATCATTTTCAGTGTTGGACTCTGATAGCTGCCAAACACTAGTTGTGAAGTAGCTACTTTGAGAAGTGGTTTGATTCACCTGAGCTTTCTCTTGCTTTTCCAGGTCAGTGAAACACCCATTTTTGTGCCTGGTGTTTGGGGACCCTATTTTTCTGCAATGGTACCTGGACTGTGGTTGAATGAGGGGGGTCAAAGTGCTACTGGAAAACTGGTAAGTGTTTGGAGACACACACAGACTCCAAGATGGGAGGTCTACCATAACTGCAGTCATTTGAGATAACTTCACTGTCAGTTCAGGGAGGGCTCTGCCTGAAACACCTCCCTAAGATCATAGGAAAGGCTCCTGAAAGCAATAAACACTTCATCGGTATCAGTGTCTCTTACAGACTGCTCATTTGCATACAGATAGGGGATAACATATGGGGCACAGCACTAAGGACATGTCTTCCTTTTATGATGGTGGTGATGATTATTATTATTTTACAGGCAAATAGGCATTAATTCTTTACTTGGTTGAGATGGACTTTGAGATAAAAAAATTATACATATTGTATTATATAGAACAATTGTGGTCATTGATGGGCATCGGTGAAAGATGTGTGGCCAGAACTGTAATAACACATTATCCTGTCTAGACAGACACTACATATATCATCACCTTAATCCATTCCTTGAATGCATTCTAACTATATTAGGTTAGTTTCATTTATCAATAAAAATTTAAAACAGCCTGCATTCTCTAGAAGTGAATTTTCTTGTTTACAGGGAGAACTTAAACACTGATGTCCAATTTAAAGAAAGGCTAGGTGTATAAAACAGTATATAGGCTTGAGTCCAAAAGTGTCAGCAGGACCCTAGTGGGTGCTTAACCCTGGAAGCTTCTAAAGCTCTCTGCATGTCTCCCTGATCAGTCTGTGGAGGTACTAGCTGTCCTCAGGGGTAAGGTGCCAAGCTCCTCATCAGAAAGTACCAGAGGTGGGCCCAGTCCCGTGAATATCCCCTGTAAGCTCAGCAAACATACAGGTTTGGTCTTTCACGAATTGCAGGTGTCATTGTTCTGTTACTCAGACCTAGCACCAGCCACCTTTTTGGGGTACGTGTCCAGGAAGTAGCAGATTGGAGCATCACTGCAGTTACACATTCCATATGGAGCAGTCACTGAATGAGGCACAGAGTAATCCTGGAGCAGGAGGCCCAGACACACCCTCAGCGCTGAGCTGCGAGCTGGTGTTCCCTCCTGTGCTCTCCTCTTGGCCACGTGAATCTGACATTCCTCTCAGTACAGTGTCACAGCTTCAGTGGGAGAGTCATCCCTCTTCCTCCTCTCAGCCTCTGCTGCCCACCCCATCTCTAGCCCATCTCCAGCCCATCACCAGCCCCATGGCTGAACGCTCACACAGTGGGTGGCATACCATACCTGTGCTTTCGATTCTTCTGGCCCAAATGGGGCTGGACCCAAAGTCTCCCATTTTGTAGGTAACTGCTACAACCAGAAGTAAAATTAAGTTACTACTTGTAACACCACCACTGAAAAGGCAAATGGCAAATCTTGTTTCTTTGTAACAAGGCTTTTGAGGGGAGAAGTCTCTATATGCTTAATCCAAAGCAGGTAAAGAGACCAAACTAGGCTCTAGAGGGGTATCCTCAGACATTCAGGGTTTTTCCTTGGCTGGCTTGTGGTGGTTTCACACTTAAAATGTACTCTGAGAGTTGTGGCATTTCAGAAAGGTGAGTTAAAAAAAACTTTTTCATTCTAGTACCAGAGAACAAGACGTTCTGGAGTCATTAAAGAAATTGTTGGAAAAACGTGTGGTCTTGTTAGGACCTGTGGCAAAAATCAGCTCTAAGTACTGTAGGTGTATTAGGGATTTCATTAATGTCTTATTAAACATTCGCAGGATGTCTCATATGGTTTTCTTGAGGTTGCATGTATAGAAAACACATAGGGGGCCATAAGAGGAAACAATGTATGTGCATGATGTGGAGGATAGGTTGCATTCACTATCTTTGTAGTTTTAAAGCTGTAGTTTTTTCAAGGTCTTGCTTTCTCATACTTCAGGCCTTCTGAAAACAAAAAAATGGACATGTTTTGGGACTCTTTTCACTGATTGATCTGTGCCAAAAGGTGAATTCTTGTGAAATTTGAACATTCTGTTGAAGTTCTTAAAAGTAAAACTGATACAATTGCCTTTAAAAATTCCTAATTTTTTTTTATTGATTGCTATTTATTTATAGATTTATTTCTGAATTTATGATTGCTCCTGTGTTCTAAAGAGATTATGCAGGATGGCAAAATTGAGGCCTGAGCTTTGTCCCTAATGCATGCACAGGTTTGAGTTTTGTCTGTGATGCAAATCTCAAAGACCAGGCATGCATATTGCTGTGTTCAGGTGTGTGTGCTTCATTAGATGTTTTCCTACACTGGTTAAGAACTAGACTTGTGCTGTTTAAAATGAAATCCCTAATCTAGTTTGCTGCCAACAGGCATTGCCAAATACACTCCCTGCTCTTGAATAGCTCTTGCTTGGCCTCCTGTGCTGTTGCTTTCACCTCTGATGGGATATTATCAAGAGGCCACAAATCCTGATGAATTATTGTCTTAAAAGCCCATGTTATTGTACCCGAGGCTTTGTTGTGTGAATAATGGTAACCACTCTGGGGTGAGAGGACAAGCTGATTTATAAATTTAGTATAAAACAGAACCTATATTGATCTTTTTTAATAGCAATAATTGCTTGTCAGGGTATACATTTGGTTTTCTGCAATGAACACGAGGAGCATCTTTCAGGAGGACAACACACCTTGTGTGATATAAAAAGATGTAGAGTTTTGGGCCAAGAAGATGCTCCTGGTAGAACTCCAGTGAGGGTATGCATGCAAGAGAATGGAAGAGACTAGAGGACGTGCTCTCAGGTAGTGCTGGACAGGAAAATAGTCATCCTTTGAGCTTGCTCCTCTGGCTGAGGAGCTGTATACTTAGCATTTTGCCTGGTTTTGGTGCAGCATTAGTTGGTTTTTCACACTGGTTTTAAGCCAAATCCTGAATCCAGTAATGTCAGTGGGAGTTTTGCAATTGGCTTCACTAGGACTTAACACCTCATGAGTAATGTAGAAGCTGTCTTGTCTTTTTAAAGTTATGATATTGCATAATTCTTTTCCAGGACTGAATTTTTAAGATGTAATTGTCCCAAAAATGTTGCTTTCCTCTTTTTCAGATAGATCACGTGGTCCGAGGCCATGTCGCCTTCCCGGAATTACAGTCAAAAGCTGCAGCCAGGTCACTGTTCTTGTTCCTTCATCACATGCCTGCCTTACAAATTGATGATATTCCCAAGTGCAGAGTGGCACTGCTGTGTCCTTATTCTGAACCAGGGGAATTAACAGTCTGATAGTGGAAGTATTTACAAAGGCATGCCAGGTGATTGCTCAAAGATGAACGCTTCAAACTCCCCTCAGATACATTTGGTGTATCCAAGTGGTGATATTAACTTTCTGTTCTTCAGCTTCTTTTGTATTCAGCTCAGGGCGTGTCTTGATATCATAGCATCAGCCCTGTTCAGCAGACCTTTATGCCTTGGGCTAATGACGTATCTTAATTTGTAGGTCACTCTATTAAGCTCCAAGGATGAGATACAGCTTAATTAAGAAAATATTATTCAGTATTTTTTGAACAGTCATCTAAAGGAAAGTATAGATAGCCACCATATGAAAAATCCTGCTTTGAACAGTCATCTAAAGGAAAGTATATGAAAAATCCTGTATGGCAGTACAAATAGAACAGAGAAACTCGGGATGAGTTTTCACACAAAACTTAAGATGTAGGAGTGAGTTGGAGGCAACTCCAGGATTCCTTGAGCTGGAGGCTGTGCACGATGTGGAATTTCAGTTTGGTCTGCTTTAGAAGAGGATGAAGTCAGTCCAGACACTTCTGTCAGTTCTGGACTTTCTCAAGCTATTTTGGCTTGGATTCCTTAAGATGATTCATGCCACTCCCAGAGAGATCTTAGCTGCACAGTTAGGCACATTGGATGAAAATTTGATTCTCCTGTAATTTCTTATTCCTCCTTAGATTAAAGAAAAAAACAGCAAACTTGGCATTTCATGTTCAGTTTATCACTCTGGTCTAAAGGCAGGGGTCAGTCCTGACAGATGTGTTAAGCACCTGCAGTCACACAGTTATTTTCAGCCCTCCCTGGGGGGATAAAGCTACGTGGTTTCTCTGGATGAACCTTCCATGCTTGGTAGTGCCCAACACCCTGCTTGTTTGTGAAGAACTTGACCAGGGTTCCCAGAAAATTCAGTGTGAAATAGATTCATGCTTCCTAGGATTCTCTGTTGTTCTTTAAAAAAAGAAATCAGGAAAGAAATGCATTTGCTTATGTTTGGAATAAGGATTGATCTGTGTTTTTTCCAAACTTTTGGCTTCCAGGCTACTTTTCCAGTGCCCCCATATGAAGCACAAGCGTAACACAAACAATTAGCTTAGTCTGTAATGCCAGGATAAGCCTTTTTTCTTATTATTTTTGTGTTGGAAAAGTGAGTATACAGTGGCCTGCTTTTCTGTAGTAGGTCTGATACTGAACTGATTGACCACAACCAATTCCATAGTGCAAAAATCTTGGATTGTGTTGGGAACAGGACACTGAAACCAGAATATTGGGAAGAGAACTCCATGTTATCCAACTGTATGCTGTCATAACTTTGGATTTGAGTCTCCTGCAGTTAGTAGAACAGTGGAGGATAGTATTAATTAAAAGGGTTATAATATTTTTTAAAAAGGGCTATAATATTTTATAAAGTTGATTTGCTCAGTGTTATTTTTATAATTCTTTCCAGATATAACTCTATTGATGAAATGTTGGGATAGCTGTAAATTTAGTAAACAAGCCTCTTATTAATTCCCTTTTCTTTCTGTCCTTCTCAAATATTCATCAAATTCAAAGAATGAACAAGCGAAAATTAGGAACTTTGCAATTTGAACTGAACTTTTCTCCTTATTTCTTCATTTCTTTCTGCACATGGAGCACAGGATTCAGCCTTATCGTAGGCACTAGTAGCAGTAGCCCTCAAGTGTGAGGCAAATTCTAGTGAACAGTGTTGGCCCAAACTTTGAATTACCCGTTTACTTGCAGTAAGTCATATACTTAAAAAGAACATAGTGTCTTGTTTTGGGGGTTGTTGGTGATGGTGATATATTATTTGCCTGGAAATCTCAGCAGAATATTTCAGAGAATCTGGCTTATTATACTTAGTATATTCTCTGTGTGAGTGTTGGAATTTGTATCTGTTCAGCCATTGCAAATGGGTGTAGAAAGAAAACAATGAGAATTTTGTATGTACATGTGCAGTTGTGTACTACCTTTACTTCCCATGCTGGGTGCAACACTGTGAAGAGTTAAGCTGGCTTAGTAGTGACAAAATGCACATGCTCCTCTGGATCATTAAAAACTAGCAGCTCAGGTCACAAATCTGTGCCTCTTACTTGCTGCTATCACCTACTCCTACCTTCCTAAATACATCTTTCCTTTCTCCCAGGCTCCTAGCACTTTTTCAGTGGCAGCCTACCTGCTGAGCAGCTGCTCTCAGATCCTCACTCTGCAGGCTTCTGTTCCTTTGCCCGTGCCAGGAGTGAGAGTTTGCAGGCTGCATTTATCACTGCTCCAGTCAGTTGTGGTAACTTGTCAGGGCGCGAGCGGCTGACACAGACTTGCCAGAAACCAGCTCCTACTGACCGCTTGTGCTGAAGACCAGTCTTGTGCAACCCTCCCAGTACTATCCCTATGTTCTCTTTTCCCTTCTCTTACTGGAAGTGGAGAGGGTTGAATTACACAAGGATTGTCTGGACAGCAGTAAATTTAGCATTTGGTCTAACTAATTGGCATACTCTGGGAGCAACAAACCTTGGGTTTTTTTTTTCATGCAGTTCAGCAAGTTGCTGAAATTGCTGTGCATGTAGCACTCCTGGTCTTCAGTCTATATGTTTTGTATATAGACCTGGAGCCATCACTGATACATTAAATCCTGTGTAGGTAGGCTAGAGTATGAAATACAAGTAAGAAATAATATGATCATATATGCTCTAAAGTTTAAATACTTCTGTTACCCAGAATCACCATTTCTAATCTTCTGGAGGAAAAGTGTCTGACAGCTTGACAGCAAAGATTTGCCCTTTGGAGCTTTGTGAAGTACTGTGTTTTAGGATAGAATTTCCATTCCTTTGCTTCCCAGTGCCATTCCACCATCTGTAGAGATGGCTTTGGAAAAAATAGAGTGAAGTGACACACACATAATCCATCAGCAGTTTTGAGATCTTCCAAGCAGAACGTAATAATAATATTAGATGAACAGAGAACTGTCAAGATGTTTTAGAGGCCTTTTTTAAGATTTAGGAGTCTAGAATGTTTAGATTTTTTTCCTGAAAGATAACCTGCCAGCATCTTTCAGGATTCCTGAACAGATTATATGCCAACCTCTTGTTGCATTCTGAAGTTATGTCCCTAATGTGAACATAACTCATGGCAAACTTGCATTGGTTTCTTATTCTCCACTTTCAACATAGCTCCTTCTTAATAGCAATAGCTTGTACTCAACTCTGCAAGTCAGATCCAGCTGCTACTGTTACCTTCTCTTAGAACTGAAGAGAAAAAGCTTATGATGTAATAATACATACAGCACAAGTTTGCTGGAAACTAGAACTGGTGAGTGTTTGAAGGATTTTGCCAATCACTCAGGCCAAGTGAAGTGCCTTGAACTCAATTCTGTATGTAGACAAAAAAAGTAAAAGGTATGGGAAAAAAAGTGTAATCCCAAAGTTGTGTGGGTTTTAAGCATATTTGGCTGAACTTCAGCCTCTTTTGTGCAGTCCTTGTGTTCTGTCAGAGCTGCACAAACAGCTAATCCTTGTGCAAGTCATCAGGCAGGATGGAGATCAGATAGAAGCTGGGATGTCTGGTAGGTCTGTGGTGGAGTGAAGCTTTCCTTTCTTTTCCTTCCCAACAGTCAAGCCATGATTTAGTCTGGAAATAAAATGTCTTTGTCCTTACCGTGTGCTACTTATAGTGCAGTCTTCAGGGATGTAGAGAACAAGGCCACTTCCACAACAAGGGGGGAAAATGTTTGTGACCTCAAAATTACCATAATTCAGGTCCAGGAAGATACATAAAGTACATTTTAAAGTACGTGAATAATGACGTGAATTAGTTATTTTAATGTCTTCCAAGTGTACTTCATTTTGAATGATATCCTCTGATAGCATACACATGGCAAGGTATAATTGAAAAAACATGCAGCAGAATGGTTGAATGCAAAGTATAAATATACAGCTGCTAGCGGGTCAGAAGTCAAACTAGTAAAGCATATGCCAAATTCCCTTAGGGATCTCATTAGTGTGTGATTGAATATACATGTAGAGGCTAAATGAATATCACTGTTTGGGCCTACAGTGGATGAGACAATGACTAATCAATTGTAATTAGGGTTAGATGCTATTACTGACCCACATGTCTAGAATTAAATGCTCCACTTGGAGATTTCCAAGGAGTTGAAAAATATGTATGAATCTGTTTATGATAGTAGGAGTTTTTGAAAAAATATTCTGAGGATTATTGCAACATTTTTAAAATGGAATGTCACTAGAGTCGCTGCAAGCCAAAGCACTGAAGAATTCAGTGCTAGCCCTAAGATTACTCTTGGTCCAGGAAAAAGTCTGTGGGATATTGTGGAGCTGGGTGTAGTATCTGCACTTAGATACAATCATGCTTAGGCCCATGTTCAGCTCCTCCCTAAAATAGCAGCTTGCTTTCTCTCCTCCACCCTTAGTGCTGCATTTTAATCATAACACAGACTGAAATAATTACAGTTTAAAAAAGGAAAGCTGTAAGTCCAGTGCTATTGATTAATCAAAGACTTTTTTTAAACATTTGTTAAGGAATTTGATTTTCATTTCTGTTTGGAATCCTCCTTATTCCTCCCTCCCAGCTTTCTTTTCTCTAGCTTCCTCTTTCACAGTGACAGCACCTTTCTCTTAGAGACAAACATCACCAGCCCCCAAAATATCAACAGCTCTGGCTCATTTGGGGACCTGTAGGAGTCAATGGACAAGCTCAAGACTGAAGGGATGTGGAGAGAGACATCCCCCAGTGCCCACACCCTGCCGGGGCCTTGGCAAGCACTCGGCTTTGCCTTTCTCCCCCTTTGTTTTAGATTTGGGATTTACTATTCTTAGATGGGTTTTCTACATTTGATGGTAGTACAAATGTTTTATGTTTGATGAATAACCTCCCCCATTCTTTTTCCAACTCGTTTTTCTTCTAGTGCTCACAATATATATACGTACTTGAACAGTCACCTGGATCTGATTAAGAAATCTTTGCCTGTGGGTTTCCTCACTGTTGATTTACATGTTTGGCCAGATTTCCATGGTAACAGATCTCCCTTCACAGATCTGACACTAAAGGGCATGGTAAGAAACAGGCTGTCTTTGCAAAAAGGTCAACGCAGGGTAAAAAAAAAAAGCTTGGAAGGAGGGTTTTTTTTTCAGTTTTGAGCATACTCCACCATAGCTATTTAAACTATTCCATAGGATTTGGGTTTCTTGCTGCAGTTTGAAGTGTGCTAATGTTGCACCAGGAAACCAGAGATTATTGTAGTTGAGGTATCACTACAGCCACATCTATTTTCTAAAAATATGAGGGGTGTTGTGTGTGTCCCAGCAATCACATTTCAGACCACCAGTTAGCGGCACTTGCTGTTGTTAACTCACCTGTCTATCGAATTTTATGTATCTGTTGCAATGAATTTCAACACAAATTTTGGTAAGTGTTTTTGGGACAGGAATGAAATACTATCAGGAGAGATTGCTTGATTTAAACAGACAAATATTCAGTAAGTGTGCTGTGTTAGAGTTGCTGGGTAATTAATTTCAACAGCAACTGAAAAAGCTCCTCTGCTTATGTTAAGAATAGGCATAGATGCTCTTATGATTGGAAATATGCAACCATGATGCTTCATACATCTTTGTTCAAAGGTAACCCTAATCCAATTCTGTCTTGTGGTTTTAAAATTATTGCTTTTGGAACTCAGAGGGCTTGGAGTAGTGTGTTCTGTACGAAGATTTTCAGACCGTTGCAATCTGGAACCAGAAAAAGCAGTGTTTGGAAGCTCACCAGAGAACCTCTGCTGGGGAGATTTTCAGCCCATCTTGAAACATTTGCTCTGAACTTCAGGGTGGTAGATCAGCTAGGTCACAGCACACTACACTGTTACTGTACAGAACCATAACAGAAGAAAGTCATAAGGGTAAGATTAGATAGTATCAAATTACCTGGTGATTAATGAAAAAATATACTTCAAAATGGCACATTGTCCTTAAGTGAGCATCTCCAGCTACTCACCAGCACCACAATCTGCTGTATTTGAGGTTGAGATAGGAAGGGGTAGGCGTAAGCACTGCAAGATGTTTTAAACCACTAACAAAACAAGGGAAACATTAAAAAAAAAAGGATGGTTTATATATTTTTAGGTCCTAAAAATACCTGTATTGTTTTTTGAAAGAATTATATGCTGCAACAGAATATTCTTGGCATGATGGCTGTATTCAAATACTGGTAACAGAAGTGCATTTTTTTTCTGCCACAATTATGTCTGCATACAGGTCCTGCCTCTGCTGACATCAATCCAGAGTAACTACAGTGCAGTATTGATTTATGTCAAAGAAAAGAGAGTAAAGATACAGTCTTTAATTATTAATTGTGTTTTGGTGTTAGGATGCTTGGAAGGGAGGGGGAGAAATGCTTTTAAAATGTTATTTTTATGTTATAGCATTTTCATATTATTACATTAAATACATTCACGAGCAATATCTGAGTCATAACATAAAACTGTCAGAGTTAATCTATCTCTAATCCCATACAGTATGCTGTTTGTTCTTTATTTCGTTGCAAGGGCAAGAACAATTTATGTGGTTCTTCTCCAGATCAGGAATAACATGTTTAACATAACATTATGTGTACAGCTCACAAAAGTCAGGCTTAGAGTTAGCACTTAATGCTTGTTACAACAAGAAACCATGGAAAATAATAAGCACTTTACTTTGGCTGGTTTTGTAAGTTCTCTTTTTGATCTTTACACAGGTTGTCGGACTAACGTTGTCTCAGGGTCTGGATGAACTTGCCCTTATCTACTTGGCCACGATTCAAGCCATTGCTGTAAGCCATTTTAAGTGCCTAGAAGAAGAAATGAATTGTCTCGTGTTCTGTGGCAGACTGATCATTCCCTTCTGCTAAACAGATTTCTAATAATAATTCACTTAATAGACTTCTTAAAGGAGCAAGATATTGTTTACCCACATTGATGACTACTTCTCACTGTAGGAGAATTGACAAACTGTGGAGAAACTGTTCCCTTTAAAAGTTTTCTCCTTATGGCAATTGTGCAAATGCAGCTTTTGCCTCTAGTGCAGGTGTGAGGAAAGAGGCTGGTACCCTACAGGGCAGTGTGAGCATCACGGGCTGTCTAGAGGGAAGCTGAGAGACTTGGGGGGTTGGGAAAAGCTTTGGCAATCGTATGAAGGAACTTGAGCTCCCCTAAGATGCCCCGGCTTCAGGTTGTTCCTAAATCCATGGATTTCCCCTGCTTAGATGAGTCAGAAGTCCATACGACAGCGGGTCAGAGCGAGTCTGTGGTTCAGTTCAGAGCACAACAGACTGAACAGGGCAGACCCTGACCCTCCTGTGGTGTCCCTGCTGCAGGGCAGCAGTTCTCTCCTGTGCAGCCATCAGCCCCTGCCTGGGTTTCTGTGACAGCAGGCAGAGGGACTGGCTTTAGGGAAATGGCCTTGGTGTTTGCTAGTGTGCAGAGATGGGTCTTTTGATTAGAATAATTTTGTTTCTGCCCTAATTTTTTGTGGAACCCAGGATTTCCAGTTCACAAGAAGTTCTGTTTTGCAGTGAAAACCCGGGTCAAAGAAGCTGTTTTGAAAGCCTGATGCAGGCTATTTTCAGTGGGGCGTGCTGTCCCCAGGCAGCTGGTGGCTGAAATCCACATTCCTCTGACATCTTCATTGTTTGTATCTTTTTTTTTTTTTTTTTTAATTTAAAGTTTGTTGAACTTGAGGTGTTTTTGCAAAACATTAACAGTTTGATTAATTGGGGAGTTTTCCTGACAAAACTCTGTTCAGTTGGAAAACTTCCAAACTCCTCTGCTGGTTAAACAACAACTTTGCTAGGCTGGGTCAGCCATCTGGGATATACAGGGTGGGCGGTTGCTGTAAATTCACTGTGCATTGTACATCTTATGTGTTAACCCCCCCTCCTCCACAAATAATAGGAACTTAACCCCAGCCTGGAATCCATTGTCCTGAGGTTCTATCCTTTTGTAAGATGAATGTAGCTTGGTTATACCTGATGCTTCGCTCTAATCCCACCATTTAAATCAGAACATCTAGGAGGTTTTGAATAATGCCAGCGACTGATACTGCCCCTGAAAGAAACTCTCCAGTGTGGAACAGGTGCTCCAGTATTATGTCCTGCTAACGAGGTGGAAATGTTCTCTGCTGGAAATCCTGGGAAAGTCACCTATTATCTCATGATATGACTCGACTCAGATTTTATTGTAAAATGCAAATATGCATTGAACACTAAATTCAGCATCTGCAGATCTTTCTCCTAGCTAATTGCACTGGTTATGGGATTTGACATAAAAAGGTCATACTGTAGATTTCATAGTAAGTTAACAGAAATTCTTAAAATGCTATTGAAACAGTAGCTAAAAAGCAGACAAAGCAGACTTTGTTTTGACTTTGTTATATTTGCTAACTGCTAATGTGATAGCTAGGAAATTTAATTTTCCCCCCACACTCCATCACTTGCATTTTTAGCTTCGTTTTTGTTCTTGTCCAGGACAGCCACAGTCCTGTAGCATTAGCTGCCCTCAATGGATGCAAGATAGACTTTAAACCTAAGTAAAAGTCTTCTAAAAAGTGTAGGCCTGCCCACAGAATGTTAATCTCTAGTTTTCCTTTCATCAGGAGACGCTTTTTTCTCTTTATATAAAATTTGCATTTGAAGCCCCTCAATTTGCATTTTCTCCAATCCAGGATTACATTAGTTCCCCCCCAACCACAGTGAAATGAGTCTGGCTTTAATTTAAATTGCTACGTGAATACAATTTTCCAGGCAGGTAGACACAAAATAATTTTCACAGCATGTTCTTTCTCAGGGTCTTTGACATGTGTATGTTGTGAGAGAAGTTGTTAATAAATTTGAATTTCAGAAGTAGTGAAAGAGAATATCCTTTTAACCATTCATTGCAAAATGCAATGCAACAGTTGGAGGGATGAGAACATGATCAGAGATGTAATTGTGGCCGTCAAGCCTGTTCTGAGGAGACAGGACTCTTTTTAGAGCAGTTTATTTTTCCATAATTAAAATCGTGGCTGTGTGATTTGGAAATTAGCCCTCTGTGTCAATAGGGAAGCGATGGATTTAGTCAGCTGGTGTTGTGGCTGCTAAATTTCCTCACAACCGCTTGCCTGAAAAACCAAAATACTTTTGAAGGCCTGTCCAGAGTGGTGCCAGTCATTCACACTGAACGTCTCCAGTCTGCTGAAACCCTGCTCGCTTCAACCTTCAGTAGCTTTTAGTTGAAGAGGGGTTTAATGCAGGCTGCAGACCTCTTAATGAATTTACAGCACAGCAGAATGAAAACTTAAATGATGGTTTGTGAAAACTTTGACCAGACTCTGTTTTGTGGGGGATCTACTTACAAAGAGTCAGCTTGGGCAAAATTTTGGCTTGAATTTGGCATTTTGTGAAGTCTGAGCTTCAAAATTAACTTCCGAGGTATTGTAAAGAGCCGGGAATTATTTTTGGACAAATAGTTTGTCAAAGAAATGGAAAGCTTTTTTGCAAGGGGAAGGAGGGAGAAGGTTGACTTCAGGGATTGGTTGGAGGCAAGCAAAGCAAACAAAAAGAGAAAAGATTTTTCTAGAATAGCATTTGCTTTCATCATGCGTGGAGTGGAACACTGAGCTGTTCGAATTTGAGTTTCTCAGGATGGAGACTGTGCATGAAAAGTTTAAAAATATGCCTACATTTTAGATGTTTCAATTAATCCAGGCAAGAAATGGAACATTTTATTTTGCATAGGGCAAAGGCCAAGAGAAATAGTTAAGCCAATACAAAATTCTTCAGGTTTTCCTTTTTGCTGAAAAGACAGAAAATACAGGGGTTTAATTTGCTCCTTTTTTTGTTCTGTTTTTCTATTTGGCTTCAGAATTGAAATCTCTTGACTGAGAGTGATTTTCAGATGCTGTTACACAAAGTGAATAGAAGGTTTTGGTGGAGGTGTCTCTGCCACGTAGCTTTAAGTTCTGGATCTGGGCAGGTTTTCCGTGCTCTGCTGTGCTTGGTCACAAACAGCTGCTGCTCACTGCTGTCCCTTCTTCCTGGTGCCCATTCCTGTGTCTCCTCAGAATCCCTATCTGCACCCTTGGTGGTGCTTCCCTGTAAGCCCCATTTCCCCGTGTTACTGCGTGCTGGTACGTCTTCATTCTTCAGCCAGCCCCAGTGTGCTGGGCCCATGTTCTTCCCAATCCTTGGTGCCATCTGTTTGATTCTTATAGGTTGTAATTCCAATGCCTGTTACTGGCTGGAAGCTGAGCAGAGGCCGTGCCCCTGCAGATCTGTTCCCAGCCCTCCAGTTACTGCTAGGGGCAGTTAGCATCATTCTTTTTAGCAAAATGTGCTTTAAGATCTGTACCTGTGTTTGCTCTCCTGTGCTCACCTGGGTTTTTTTGGCTTTTTTTCTCCCTTTCTGAAGTTAGGAACAAGACATATTTTGGAAACTATGGAGGCTGCAGGGCATTGTATCAACACTCTCTTTCTGTGTGGTGGGCTGAGCAAGAACCCTCTCTTTGTGCAGATGCATGCTGATATTACTGGTAAGTGAGATGAAGTGTGGGCAAGGGAGCGTAAACTACTTTATTTGGGGTGGTGAAATACTTTGTATTTGGAAAAATAAATACTTTCTTTATATAGCATTTATTTTGCTGGTTGGCCAAAAAGTGCGTAGTGAAAAGTTACTTCCTGCAAGACTGAATTGCCTGAAATTTAAAGGCATTTGAATAACCCAGAGATGTGGTACAAACACAACTCCAGTCCTTGTATTGTTAGAAGACAGACTGCAGGAGAAACCTCCAGCATGATTTCCAATCTGCAGATCTTAGACTTGCAGGTTTTTTCAAGACAGTGCCATAGAATAAATATTAAAACTTCATATGAATTTATAAAATCACTATGCTATAAATCCAATATGCATAAATTACATGTCAGAGATTTCTCATTATCAGATTTTAAAGAATTATTTGAAATGTTCTGTAGAACTTATTCCATTTAGTCAGACTACAAGACATTAGGTGACGATAACGCCCACTACATTTTGTACCCATGGTTTGCAGAAGATATGTTTTACTAAAACCTGCGTTAGTTTAATTCTGATTGAATTCTGTTGGACTTCTGGCATGTTCTGCTCATGCTGGGCATTGTATCCATTATATAGAACAGTTCTTTTCTGAATTGCTTCCACGTCTGTGTCATTAATGTGGGTCAGAGGACAATTTCTGTATCCTTGCTCCTGCATGATGTTGCATTTGGTTGTGTAGAGTTTCCTGATGGGTGGAAGGTCCTGAGTACATGGTCCGTTACAAGAGGAGGTCTTAGGCTTGCACGTTAGTTTTTGGTCTCCGTTAAGCCTGTCTGTGTTGGACATATTAGCACACATGCAAGTCAGTTGAATGTACTTTAAAAAATGTGGAAAAAATAACAAAATGTTGTGTAAAGGACTTCAGAGAAGCTTTGAATGATGTGTGTTTTGGGTATATTTCAAATTAAGACCAGTTGAGCTGTCATGAATAGAGTTGAAGGCTCAGATCTGAGGCGTTTGGTCTGGAGATCTGATTTGCCCTTGCATCAAACCACACTTTGTAACCCTGATGCAGGAGGGAAGATGAAAATATACTTTGTGTACTTACCTGAGATGAAAACAGAAATGGAAAAGGAAAAAGCATAATGCCTGTTGACCTTAAAATCCACTAAATACTTTGTAGTCAGAGTGACACTTTTTCTCTTTGTGAAAAATGATGTCAAGTCCGTGTGTCCATTGTCAGGCGCCTTTCCTTACAGAACTCCAGTGTTTTAGGTGAATTTCAGCTATGTGTAGAGTTGAGATGGTGGTTCATGATGTGTCAAATAAAAGATCTGTGACAAGGTATTCTGATTAAAATGTAATCAGAAGTTCTTTGACTGTAACTAATGGCCAAGTACAATTTAGTACAAAAAGGCCTTTTTGCAGTCTGGAGTTCTCCCCCATTTGTAAAATCAGTGACTGACAAGGGATGTCAGAGTTCATCTAACTGAAATGCACTTGGTTATGTTGAACTCATTAGAGCCTATCAGATAAAATAACTAACATTCCAGGATCAATCCCCCATTCTTCCCTGAAAAGAAAAAAATCTGAATATATTATTGTTAGCTGCAAATGCCCATGACTCAGCCATGCAGACATCCAATAGATAATTTCGCAGGCCACTTAAAAAGTATCTTGATCTTTTTGTTTGCCTGGTAAGAATTCTGCATTCATTGTGATGATGAGGGAAACGCAGTAAAGTTGCCATCATAATGTATCTGGCTGCCTGGGGTCCATGGTGAATTTGCTTTGTACCAATAATTGTTTCTTATATTAATAATTTTTTCTCATTTTGGAAAGTGTGCATTTTGCCTCTTCCTCTGTAGGAGTTGTTCACAGCTCACTTTAGAACTTCTTCCAAATTTCAGCTTCTTCTAATCTTAAAGCTGGCTCTCAGGAGCAACATTTTTTTGGGCATAATGTCATCGAGGCTATTCACAGAAGGAAGCCCTCCTCCCACCACTGTGTTTGCATCATCATTCATTCAACGAAATTATCTCAGTAATGGAAATTTAGACACATGCCAAATACTGTAGGAATATTAAATTGTTTTGGCTCAGTGAGGATAACCTTCTAAAGTGCAGCTAGAAAAGTACTTAGGCTTATGCTATTGTTCTAGATTTTTAAGGAGAATTAAGAAAACAGGCTGATTTTTATTTGTTTATTAGTCTTTTTCCTGCTGTTTTTACAGTAGTAATTCAGGTCTTGGAAAACTCTGTGTGAACCGAGGGAAAGTATGTGCATCATAGTCTCCATCAGTGATGAAACAATTTTTAATTCCACTTCACAATATATTGTTTGGTTTTTTGTTTTTCCAGTGTTTTAATCTTGTTTTTGAGTATGTTGCACAATTTGGAAGAGAGATTGTCTCTTATTATTTCATACATAGCTTGTGAAAGTTTACTAGTCATGTTTTTGTGTCTTGCAGCAAAACCAGACTGGCTTTGTTGTCTATATACATAAAAACAAACACAAATAATCTTTTTTTTGTTCCTTGCAAGAGAAACAAAAAGGATACCACCCTGTTTTCCCCTCAAGGTCAACTTTTAATAGGCACGTGGGTTTGGAGGCTGTGGGTAACAGGTTTATACCAAGCCCTTTGAGATAAATCGCCAGAGTCAAAGATCTGAGGGTTTGTTCTTTGTATGCTTTATGTTCTGCAGTATTGTTTTGCTGGGATAGTTTTACTTAAATTCTGCATTTTTCTTGGAGCCTGAAACCACAGAGCAGAGAGATTTACATTAATCTACAGTAGAATTTAGCTCTGAATAGAGTTGTGAACATGGTTTTCAAGTCCTATTTGAATCCTTTTTTCTTTGTCTTTCTTGCTTTAATTATTTATTGTGCTGCTAGTGCAGTAGTGCTGTATTCCTCCTAACAGGCAGGGCTTTTTCTTGTATAGGCAAGCCTGTTGTCCTATCCAAAGAAGTGGAGTCTGTTTTGGTGGGTGCTGCTATTCTTGGAGCTTGTGCTTCTGGGGATGTTGCATCTATACAGGTATGAACTGCCTTTTTTTTTCCCCCTCCAGTTTTTAATGCATTTAACACTTTGACATTTGGCACCATGCACAGACTTTGATTCAAGTGGAGAAGTTTGTACCTTCTGCACAGCAGGGCAAGAGCCAGCATTGCTTTCTCTCCACCCTCTTTTTAACTCCATATGTTATTTAGGTGCATCCTAGATTCGTCTTTTGACTGCAGGGACATGCAGGTAAAAGCTGCTGTCTATGAAGTTAGGCCACGTAATTTTACAGACAAAAAAGGGGATTTGGCAAGGCTGCAATCCTGCAAGAAGGTCACACTTTCATCTCAGTTATTTTTGTCCTACTTTCCTTCCTTCATATTGAGGAATGTTAAACATAAAAAACCAACAGTACTATTTATTCAGTAAAAAATGACACACCTATACCTCTTGTCTTGCCTGCAGTGAATGCAGAGTTAATAATGAGGATGGAATGTCATGTTTATTCATGTTATTTCAATCCATTAACAGTTGTGAAAGTAGCAGTAGGGCTTTTGTGTTCACTGGATCAGCCAAAGCATGACTTAGCTGCATTTATATAAACAACAGTAGTATACAGAAACCTGACAAAGGGTCTGAGTGCCCTAAATCATCTCTGTTCTCCCACGTGGCAAGTCCACTAACATAAGACATGTCCCTCATGCTACACAAGGACACTAAACAGTATGTTACATTCAGTCAGTCAAAAAGTCAATCAGGATGGTCTCTACATACACTTTTCTTTATAACATCAGGCAGAGATACTTGTAGATGAAGTTTTGCACAAAACTGTAACTGAATGTGTTTTTTGAATAGGGAGGTCAGCTTCTCAACCTAGTTAAATTGATGGAGTCAATAAACATAAGCTGAGGAACTGGGTTGTGTTTGGCATTTTTAAAAAAGTAGATTTTCCAGGTATGAATATTCTGCATTGCCATGTAGGATAGCAGGAAGAGCAGTTTCATTTCATAAGAATTTTTCCATGAAAATCAATCCCATTGCAACAAATATGTAGTACAATATATAAATATATATTTGTATTTAATAACTCTAGTGCTTGCAAGGAGAACTTGTTTTGATAAATGTAATTTCAGTTGCGACTTTTGATGATTAATTCTTAGTCTTTTGTTAATCTTCTGCCTTCAAATACATAGATACTTCATTCCAAGTTTAAGATGCTTTCCACTACTATGCAATAACTGAACATCTCAGAATTGGTTTTAAGTCTTTCTTCATGACCATTCGAAAAATATAATACTGTGAAATGTTCTGTGATATGTGCTTGTATATTTTTGGTGTATTTATTTACCTTTAGTTTTTAACTCTGCCCTTAGATATAAAAATATGTTAAGAGCAGATATGTCTGTTTTATACATGTGTACATGTACATCAGTCTACAGAGCAGGCTTCTTCAGAAATAGTTATCAGTGAAACCAGATCTTTGAACCAGCCAAATCACAGACTTTTTAATTTAAAAAGAGTTTATTATTTTACCATTATGATATGTCAGGTGGTACGTGCCTCTGGTTGCAGGAATGGGTTTTAGCTTCTCCTAAGTACAGTACAGGTTCTGTGGGTCTTCCTGGAGTAAACTCTATAATGGGCTTACCTGCATCTCTCAGGAGCTGGACTTCATTATTCCTTATGCTGCCTTCCTATTTCTGCTTTAATCAAGTACATTAATGCCAGCACACAAAGAAAAAGAACAAATACAAATTGCAGCCCAGTGCCTCAGCACTGTATAAGGAGCAAGTAACCCAAGCACAGCCTCTGCCTTTTTCAGTGCTTCAGCAGCTGTTTGTGTAAGGTCTGGTTCCAGTCAGCAGGAGAGTTTCCTTTTGTTTCACTGAGTTACAGGTCAAGCCCATGGGCTTCCCTGGGATATCTCTAAAACAGAAAAGGGGAAACTACTGCTATTATATATCCCACTGGGCATTTATAGCATGTTTTTTCCATAGTACTGCCTGTGGTGATCACTGGGAGCCAGGTGAGGCCCAGAATCCTATCCAGAATGCCACAACATCTCTGCTGTGTGAAGAAACCACCCACTAAGCATTTTGGCTTAGTGTGTGTTCAGAAGATTGTTGTTAAAGAAGTGCCACCTATGGCAATATCAGTTGTATCATGCAGCAAATCTGTTAGACTATATAAAAATATTTTTAAAAGAATTCAGCTACGTGAGATCAAGAAAACAAGAAACTGAATAAATGTCTTTTGGGGGCAGAGAGGTGTATATGCAGATCTAACATTGCAGATGAACAGCCTTCTCTTCCATTTAGTTTTACATCTTCCAAAACAAACCTTTCTTCAAGGTGCTGCTGCAAACACTCAGCATCATTGTAGTCTTTGCAAATAATAGAGGTTATTACCTGTCCTGTAATTGTGCTTAATTATTGTGCTTTCCAAAGCTCTTTGTTTGCTCAGTCTAATTGTAAAGGAGAAAATTGTGGGGTTTTTACAAATAACCTCTTTCCTCATGTCTATGGTTGTTTGAAGGGGAATTTTTACTGTATTTGTCCCTGTGGTTGGTCACATTTCTCAGAATGATTTTGGACATTTCCACTCAACGTCAAAATCAAAACACTTAAAAGCTATCTGGTTTTCATGGGTTGGCTGTGCTCCATTTTCTAAAACTGGAAGCATCCATGTGACAGTTTGGAAATAGCACCCAGAGCCAGGATCCCTCAAAATCACTCCTGCTAACCTTAGTCCAGCTTTAAATTGCTCTGCTGACTGTCCTGTCCTGTCCTGTGGCATTCTGCCTTCGGGAACTGGAGATGGGGAAATATCTGCTTCAGAGACACACTGGAAGATGGTTTTTTCCAAGGACAGCAGCTCTACTTACCTACATATAGCTGTGTGATGAACCCAGTCAGAATTGTGCATGAGATAACAGGGTTCTTATCCTTCACTTTCTTGGGCAGTTGGTCATACTGGTTGGAACACTACAGAGCTTTTCCTCTGCTCTTTGGTGTCCCTAAATAAGTTCTTTTTCATAAAGAAACAAGCACCAAGGTACCTACTCTCTTTTCCCTTTCTATACTACAACAGGGACTATTTGCACGATACAGGATTATATTCTAATTCTTAATTTTCATATCTTTTTATCTGTATTTTGAATGATACTGTATTTTGAGTAATGGTTTTCATCCTTTCTATTGACCGTGCTGGTATTGGTACCACACTTCTCAGTATGCTAAGCCTTTACAAAGAAGCACTGGAAATGAAGGTTATTGCAAAATTTGTAACCATACAGGTTAATTTGCTAGATTCTAGTGTGGGTTTAAAAGCTTAGGCCTCCTGAAGCTGCAATTTCATCTTTAGGTCATTCTATCAAGGAAAGATTTATAACCTCCATCTCTCATGCCTGGTCACCATATGTTGTTGCTTCAAAGAATGTTGACTTCCCTATTTTCCTCTTCATTTACTCTCCCAGCATTTTTCTCCTCTGTGGTAAAACTGAATTAAAACACTTGGCTTATCCAAAAAGAAAACAAAACAAAACAAAAGAGCGTGCAGTGTAATGAGTTTTTCCCCATTGCATCTTTTGGTTATTTAGTCTCTACAGAATCTCTGGAAAGGGGAGAAAATCTTCTGAACTTCTTCTTGCAGCTTGGATTATCTTTTAATTTGCCCCTGCAAACGCTACACCCTTTTAGTGGTTTTGTTGTGTCTTGTTTGTTGTGCCTGTGAGCTGTAACACAGCCTGGCTGGGTCACAGAAGACAGTGCTGTGTAAAATAGTGTCACAGAAGGATTTTTGAGATACACTCTGTATTTTGGAGTTGGGGATTTGTGAAATATGCACTGCATTGAATGAAATAACTTTAGCATTGGTGGCTTAGATGGGTCAATTTATTGGTTCTACCATTCCTTGCATGCTGAGCAGCAGGATCCTGGTTTTCTGTGGGATTGTTTCTGTAGTAAAAATATAGTTTCCGGTTTAGCAAGCCAGCAATTCCTTCTCAGTAAAAATGTTCAATAAATAAATGTCAAAGTTTCCAGTATATCCTCGTTACTCTGCCTCACTTGTATGTAATTGAAAATGGGAAGAAGGTGCTGTTTGATTTGGCAGTCAGCCAGCTCATTTTTTTTTGGATAGCCTACTCTTTGGGACAGAGCTGTACACCAGGGAACTGGATTATTGCCTTATAAAATCCTACAGCCCACTGACTATTCCTTAATTGCATATTAAGGCAATTAATAAAGTTACCTGTATGAAACCAGATCGCCAGATTTATTTTGGATTTGCTGTCTTAATGTGGGTCATTGTTACTGGCTGATAGGGGAAGAGAAGAAACTTTGTATGATTTATTATAATACATTTTACTGGTAAATTTCTGTAATCAGGTTTCTGTTATCATTTCTGGTGTAAAATATTGAGCTAGAAATTAGAGTCTATGGGACTGTAAGATTTTTTAGGTATAAAATTGTCTTTTAAGGGAAGGGTAGTCTTTTCTTTGTTAGTTTTGGTTCTTAGGTGAGTTGGTATATCCTGCAAAAAGATAGGAAAAAGCTTTTTCATTGTATAAAGCAGATTGGAGGTATGTAAAAATTAGCTGGATTCTATAGAAAGAGGTGTTAGTTAATTACCTAACGTGGATTAGCTGAATTATTTAGCAGCAGTAGCATCTGAGCAAGTAAAGTAACCCCTAGGTACAATTTTACATCCCTGGAAGCAGCCCCAGAATCTCTGTAGATCGTGATCGCCCAGCTTGCCTCCAAGATAACAGGCATGGAGTCAGTAACTACTGCAGGCAGGGGTTTGAAGTTCTGATGATGCAGGAGAAATGATTCACTTCCAACTCTGTAGTAAAGGAGCTCAGAAGTTTTGTTTGTGCACCTCTTGGTTGTGCTTAATGTAATGGACATCTCTTCTTAGTTGCGTAAGGAAATCGTTGGGTGGTATAGCAGAGAGGATCAAATCAAATCAGCCAGGAAGATGATGGGATATACAGTGTCTTTGCTACTTAACAATGAAAATATTACAGCCTGTCTTGAATATATAAAGAAATGCAACAGTTAGTCCACAACGCTGGTAATGGGCCAGCTGGCAGTTGTGACTAGACAGCATCTCCTAAGAACACCCGTAAGCAGTACTGGGACACCCTGAACATTTTTGCTGACAACACTGGAGGGGGTTAGGCTATTTTCATTTCTGGATCAGTCAGTCTCAGCTGTAATTTTGTTCCACTTATTTGAGTGGACGTGCTTCAGTTGATGGTCTGATCCTCTATTCCTCTTCCAGGGCATTACCTGTCGGGCCATGGACTGAAGTTAATACAAGTGCCTTGGTGATTTCCATATTTTCAAAAGCAAGAATTGAGTGAAAGATCAGGGAGGGGAGAGTTTTTTCCTTAGAAATGGTAATAACTTGGGAAATCAAAAGAGGAAATAAAATGACTTCTCCCTGTTGAGTTAGGGAATGTTGCCTTCCCTCATCTCATTAAAAATTTAAAGCACTCCTGTTTTCAAGCAGGGTGAATTAGTAATTAAGTGCTATAATCAACTTGTGTCAACATAATATTGAAGGAGAGCAGAAAATTAATCATTTCGTTGGCTTGCCTTACCCAATTAATGCACCTTTTAGTAAAGGCCTTCCTGCCGTGTTGGAATAGTTCTTTTTTTCTCCTGTTCCCTTAATCAGCGGATTTTGGAAAGGCAGAGGAAGGAGATGGTTGTTCTTAGGCACCATGCTGTACACAAGGAATGTGTTCAGGTGCTAGCATCTTGCCTGCCTTTTCTTCCAAAGCTCTGAGTTTGTACATGTAGAGTTTGAGCCTAAGGTTTAGTGGAGACTGTCCCTGGGCAAAGCTAGGTCACAGCTTCTCTGAGCAGTGTATTGGCCATGCATGGCCTCTTCATCCATGTGACTGTTTGGTAACTTCCTTCCTGGGTTGTACACAAACAGTCTTAATTGACAGGATGTATGCTCCATAATAAAATGACTTCAAATTTCAATGCACAGCTTATCTATCTACTCTTGGAGACAGTACTCCAGTGGTGAAAAGAGCTGGATCTTCCCAGTCCATTCATTTGCTGTTCTCTCACTTATGACTGGCAGCAGAGTTGCTTGCTGAGAACTGAACTGTTTCCACTCAAGCAGCTGAGGTGTTAGATGGCTGTGGAGTGTTTTTGCAGCTAACCATGCCTGGACTCAAAAGCAGGGACTCAGCAGTAGGACTCTATCCCTTTACCTCTTTCCTTGGTGTTTTGACACTGAAGTACATCTTTGCCTAATTGAAAGGTTGGTTTTTTTTTTTCCTTGTGTAATAAAGTTAGATTCAATATGGCATGCATGCAGCCACTAAGATACTGGCAATGCCTCTGCCTTTTGTATAGAGTCAGCTGCCTTTTTACCAGAAATCTTTAGAGAAATATAGATGAGAGAGAAAAATTAAAAGGCAGTGATTTGATGGCCACTGTCCAGTTCCTTGTGGCCTAGTGTTTATGGTACAAAGAGTGCCTTTTTAGTTAGCATATTTTGGTCTTACTGTCAGAAGTCTTTGCAGTAAGGGTAAAAAGCAGATGAATCACAACTACTATTTTGCCCTAAGGATGATCCTTCTGTATTAAAGCTGAGAAATATAAATGCTTGTCTGTTTCTGCCAAGCACAGAATGAGCTTTCAATCAGTTTGAGAGTTGTGATTATTTTTATTTTTTTTTTCACTTTTCAAGCCTTAATAAATATGCAGAAGCATTTCTATTTTGTTTCAGCTGACTTCAGTGGACAGTATTTCCATATGGTTGGAAATCTCTCTTGGTGGGAGTTAAATCACACATACAAGCACCACCACTTAGAAAGTCAAGCAGCTGAGATGTGGCCGTAGCTGACAGCATGATGCTTTCACAAAAGTGCTAAGAAAAGTACCCTCTGTCTTGTTGCTGTTTACTGACATGTGATACTGGTTGACATCTGTTGCCCTTCTCATTTGAGGACTGTTTGCTTTACTAACTTTAACATTTCCACATTGCTATGCTGTTGAAGTGCAGATCCACAAATCTCCTTGGAGTCCCCAAGGTCCTTTTATGAGAAGCAGAGCTGCCATCATTTGGTATCATCCTGCTGGATCCTGCATTTTACATTGGAGTTGAGAGAAGAAACTCTGTTGCTGTGAAATGTTCTTGGTGGAGTGCAATGTCTAATGCTATATGTTGTCATACATGAGATGGATTATCAGAGCAGGACATACTGTACAGCAGCGTTTGGTTCATTGTCACATTAGATGATTTGTGGTTGGTTTATATCACTTGAAATTATTACAGGTAAAAACTTGTCTAAGAAAATGTCAAAGTTTGTTGTGGCAGGTCATATAGCTACCGAAATGACAGATGATCTTAGTCCACAATCATAATGCAAAATTCCCAGTTAATGTAAATCAGTAGTGCTCCAGGATTTCCAGGGAGTGACACCAGTTTACTCCAGTGCCCTGCTCCAGTCAAGCACTTAGGTACGTCATCTCACTTTCAAGCAGGCAAGCAGCTCAGCTGAAGATAAGCAGGACTGCCCATGTGCTGAAGTACTTTACTGGATCAGAGCCCAAGCAGGAATCTGACACACAGTTCACTGGTAGATGACACATCTTGAAATGATAAAGGCTATTAGAGCTCTTGCAATTGGTTCATATTATTACCCATTCAGGAGGAAGTTGTGGATGCTTTAGGTAATAGGATACAAGGCAGTGTCTTTCGCTGAGTGCTGCCCTTTTGTGGAAACTTAGCATGCTCCATTTTAAATGTCATCCAGTGCACAAACGTTCCGATTTGGAATTTCACAGTAACTCTTTCGTGACAGGGACAGGCAGCTGCAGAAAGTCAGTGAATACACTGGCTACAACAGAGCTACCCCTTACAATTAGTGGAGTATTTGGCATGCAGGTACCTAATGTTGGGGGCAACAAGCTCAGAAACCCATACTTACAGACGTGGCCATATTATTTTTCTGCAAGTGGGTGATTTAATGGAGTACCACACAGGAAATTAAAGGAAGCGTGGCCTTTTATTTGAGCACCAGTGGAAGGAGAGAGAGCACTGTGTGTTGGGGTATTGGTGTGCCTCACTTGTTTATTAATTCTGTCTGAGGGTGGAGGTGCTTATTTTTCACATTTACGAGGATGGACTGAAAAGGTAATAAAGACCTCTTAGGTTCTCTAACGACCAAAGAAATCTATTTAATCCTCTGCCTTTATGCTGAAGGTGTAGCCAGCTTTGTGGATTGGCACAGCTCCATTGACTTCACCCAAGTTCCATATCTCGCGTGCGCATACCCGATTAGCATGTTAGAAACAAGCATATGTATGCAAATACAATCTCTTCTGTCTGTTGGTTCAACATACATATATATATATGTAGTCATGTCTTTTCGTTTTTAATAAACTCACATCAGCTGATGTTTGCAAATAAGATTTAATGTTTTGTTAATCTGCAGAAGTTGAGACTCTTACTAAACCAGTGGTATTCTTCTCATCTGTCAGTAAGCCCAAGACCTGGCAAGCTGGAGAAGATGTGCTGCCTAGAATAGTTCAGGTTCTGCTGCTGAATATTTTTGTAACAAACCATGAAATGACCACGGTGGAATTTGTCAAAGGAGATGTACTATTAGGTGATTTTTTTTTCAAGCAGACTGAGACTAAGATCAGCTTGTGGAATAAGTTTAATAATATCACAGTGTTACAGTTTTTCTAGCTTGCTGGCCCTGTCTTTTCTTAAGGAAAACCATAAATATGAGTAAACCATAAATGTCTCTTTATGGTAGATAGATACTTCCTTTCAAATGTACTGTGATCCATCTTCTTTCTATTTTAAGAACAGATTTTACCCATATACTTGGAGACATAGCTGAAGTCATTTGGACCTTGGACTCCCCTTCTGTCCAGGCCATTTAAGCAGAGGAAAGTGTGATAGCAATATTTTATAGGAAGGATGAGAACAAAGGGGGATACCATGGATCCTTTGTGACTGTCGGTAGCCTGTAAGGTCCTTTTCAGAGCGTGTCTTGCTTAAATGATGTTCAGGATGTCAAACAAGCTAAAGCCTCTCTGCCCTCACCTCCTCAGTAGCTGAGCAGAACAACCTTCAAGTTATGCACTGGAGAATTGGAAACTCAATCTGGCTACATTGTGAGATTAATTTTCCATCTGGGATTTGCACTCTGGCCATGTCAGCGCAGGGGATCAGCCTGTTCTGTGGCACAGCACAAGCATGTGGAGTCACTGCACTAGCTGGCTGCCTGGGGGGTTCACAACACGCTTTTTGAAAGGTATTATGATCACTCAGTCATGGGATTTGATGCCAGTAGTTCGTACCCCTAGAACATACTTTTGCCACCCTGTAGTTGAAGAAGCTTTTTAACTTACATGTGCTATGTTGTCCAGTCTCTCAAAGATATCTGGAGGGCGTTGTTTCTCAAAATTAGCCCTATCTGTATAGCTTACCAAGACTGTTTACTATCTGGGCCTTGCTAATACCTTTCATTTTATTGTGGTTAACAGTACAGACATTCTTCTATATTCCCTTTCATGTAGTCACAGATCTGAAATGGTAGAGGAGGCAACCTGTAACCTTTATTAGTCTTATTAGCTATAGAAGGCAGTGACTTTATCAGCATACTGGTTTTCTTGATCCTGAGAATTGGAATCCAGTTCTCATTGTTGTATCTTTGTTCAGCTAAGTCATAGGTTCTTGTTTTCTTAGATATAGATATATATAACAACCTTTCCCAACTCTTGCTTTTTTTCTTGTTTTGAAGCAACTTTTCACACCCACTGTGCTTAAACATTTCTAAGGCACCATTTGATACTAGAAATTGGACAGTGACGTGTAAAGAGAATCCATATGAAATTGTTTCAGGGTTCTGTTTTGGTTTTACTGGGACAAGTGTCCAAATAGTGATTAGGAAGACCATAATAGTAACTCTTGAGGGAAATATAGGCAGAATGGTTAACCACCAAGTGGGCATGGAAAAGCAGAAGTTGCAAATTTTTGCACAAAGATACTCTAACAGATGAGGGTTGAAAAACACCAGAAGAACACAAATAAGGAGAACTTCTGTGCCTGACAAGCAGGTATAAGCAGCAAAAGTGAGTTGGATTGTCAACTTCCACTACTGTAGTTTTCAGCTGAGAATAGTTTATAGGGGATGTACTGAATGTGTTGTACTCATAAGGGGCTGCAATCCCCTGAGCATAGAATCATAGAACCATTTAGGTTG